CATCAGAGAAGCCCCAAACTGAGAAAAACCCAAGATGGAATAGCGCATGAGTCCTCAGGAAGCTTACCACCTAAGGGGCTCAGGAAAACTTTACCTACAGGAATAAGAATCACTGTGAGCAGTTCATAAGGCAACTGAATCAAAACATTCTGTTGTTGAGAAAATGATGAGTTACGGGTGGGTGGGGAGATAATTCAGTCGGCAGAGAGATCGCCTCGGAAGCTCGGAGTTTCATCGCAAGCATACCCATGAAAAATGCTGAGTATGGTGTCTCATGTTTGAAATCCCAGCGCTAGAGAGGTGGAGACATGTGGATCCCTGGGGCTCACTGGTCAGCCAGCCTGGGAGAGTTCTAGACCATTGAGAGGCTCAATCTCAAAGCAAAACAGATGGACAGTATAAAACGATCCGTATGAGTCCTTAAGTTTTAAAGCTTTGTTCATGGCACTTTGTTTTATTTAAGTTTTGACCTTAGTCGTGTCTCTCCGTCTGTATCTCGTGACTTGTTTACGCAGGGATTGTCTACCACATCTTTTCCTGATGTTCTGTAACAGAAAAACAACAGCCTGGTGGGAGACGCAATGGAGTTTACCTAACACCAACCAATGCTCACACTGCCTGGCAAAGCATGCTGGTCTCCTGATTCTCGGTTATGACTGCAGCAAGTAATGCTGAGTTTGCGGGACCACCACACACCCAGTAGGAGGTGCAGCGGGGAGGTATCGAGCCCAAAATATTCCTCTGTTGTTCACCAGTTTTGAAAACCTTAGTAAATGCAGTTGCAGGGTCTATCCAACCACTTTTCATGATGAGGCAGACTTTGTTGGACCCAGAGTCCCCCAAAGACCATCAAGGGACCAAATCCAATGCAGAAGCAGAGTCTTTTTATTGTTGCGAGTTAACTCGGGACCCTCTGTCTATCTGATGCAGCAGCAGAGCAGGAAAGTCCATGAGTAGCAATGGGGCAAGGTTTTTATAGGGGGTAGATGGGGTCTTAAGGTCTTCAGACTTCCTAGGAACAGACTCAGGATTGGTTTATGCGATTGGCAATCATGTTAGTAACTTTTAATTGGCTAAAGTTAGTTGGGGGTTACAGTTATCCATTTTGGGGCAGGCCTGGACAAGTCCCAGGCTTTGTCCTTGAGCTGCTGTGGAGGCTGGCTGGCCTAGCACATACTGACTGTGGGGGCTGCCTCAGTAGCCCAGGCTTGGTGCATGCTATCTCCCTGTCCCTGCTGGCAGGAGCATGAGTGATTAATTGTCCTTTGTTCATGGCCCTCCCGGAAACTGCTTGCTAAAGTCTCAGGAAACTGAAATTGAGGCCTGATCTCTGAGAGAAGACTGACAGCCTGTTACGGCGTCTGCTTGGTCCTTTCAGATAGAAGATGTGAAATACTGTGTGTATGCATTCTGTACATTCACAAATTCCCCAAGGTGCTCACAGCTGTGAAATAGTGGAGAAAAATGATAATCCAACAGTAATAATACCCACTATCTGTTATTGGAACCCCAGTGCTGTGATCAGTCAGCACACAATTATTAAATGAATATTTATTATATACAGGGCTCCAATCTGAAGTTAGGAACAAGAACAAGGACAAAAAAGTCAAAAACACCTACAACTCTGTTAGGTCTCAAAAGCACAGTTTGACAAAGTTGGTCAAATACACAAACGTACAACTTAATAATTCTTTAGAAATTTTAATTATTTATTTTTTTACATATTCTTAATTTTGGGGGGGAGGAGAGTTTATCCATTTGCTTGTTTTTTGTTTTTTTTTTGGTTTGGCTTTGGATTTTTTTTTTGTTTTTTTTTTTTTCGTTTTTTTGTTTTGTTTTGTTTTGTTTTGAGACAGAATCTCATTTATTAGCCAAGGTCATCCTGGAACTTACTGAGTTGCCCAGGTGAGGCTTGAACTCATGGTCAGTCTCCTGCTTCAACTTTCCAAGTGATAAGATTACAGGTATGACCTACCAGGCATAGACTAGTCTTGATTTTTCAAATATTTTTATTCAACATGTTTCTCTATAAAAACAAATATTTTTTGGTCATTCCCTTTATTGTGCAATAATAGGCGCATAAGTGACTTTAGGAAGCTGGGAGGGTCCCAGGAAACAACCCTCAGATGAATTATTCTAGCACCTAAGGAACTCAGATGAACATTCCCTTTTAAGAAAGAAAATATGCATTATTGGCAATCTGAAAGAAACCACTCAAATAATTTAAAGTTTTCCTGGTTAACAATGGGAAAACATAATAAATCCATGTGTTGTGGTTTTCCACCGGGCCGAATCATCACATACCATAATTCTCTATGAACATCTAAAGCACACCACACACATACACCACACCATGCACATATACCACACACAAACACACACACCCTAGACACAGATGCACACACACATGCACATGCACATGCACACCACATACATACCACACATGTGCACACAAATATAAACACACCCTAGGCATACATGCATGCACTTACACACTTGTTGCTTTTAGTGGAGGAACAGTCTCAAGTACTCTCAGATGAAGCGAGTTCTTATTTATATTCCTGTCTGCCCCAGTGAATGGCTTCATAAGAATTTATTCTTCATTTCATGCGCAAAAAGGCTGCCCTAATCCCCCTCTTTGACCACTGGAGTATGTCCAGAACTTTTCAGCAGAAAAGGGCCTTTCTTCCTTGATCCCAAGCCAGAGTTGAAATGAATCTTACAGGACTTAAATGGCCCAACATCCCCGTCACCACCGACTTCTCGTTCAAAGGGGTACTTTGGGCGGCAGGTGGAGTTATAATTATAGATTAGAAAAAAGCAGCATCAGCAGCTGTCCCTTCTGTTTGTTCCCGGCTATAACTGTCATCAGTGGGCAAACTGGCATAAACAGGCCTCAGCAAGTGGAAAAACATTTAACCCTGGACTCGAGACGCGCTGGAACCTCGCAGCAGCCAGAGACCAGGCGGAAACCTGACGGTCCCCCCGAGTGAAGGCTGGAACCCGGAGCACACTGACCTGAAGACGCCTCTTCAGGGAGAGACTGACATTTTGAAGATTTCCCTTCCCGTGGGAGACTCCAAAGAAACAGGTTAGTGCTCAGTCAGCTTACGCACTTGAACGGTGACCTTGGTGCTCCCTGGGCTTAGGGTTTTTGACAGCCTCATAGAAGGGTGAAGGAGCAAATGAAAGAAAAGGAAGGTGGTTAGAGCCCATTACTTAGCACAGTCGGCCTGGAGAGCAACTGAAGACATTGGCTTCATTTGCTGCGCTCCTCTCCCGAGTCAACTGCGCTCTCCTTAGGCAAAGAGACAAGGCAGCCCTGAAAAAGTAGAGCGTGTTTTGTGACAGACATCCCATTCTTTTGTAGCACCTCTTACTTGGGCAAAAGGCCCTGGTTTGTTTCTTAATTAAAATCAATAATTTTGGAGGATAAATCAGTGATTTTTGTTGCTGTTGTTATGAAGACAGCTGCCAGCTCTTAATTCCTTAGAGGAAATAGACAAATTACACTTGGATGTTTGCCTATTTGAATGAAATATTTTCTTGCTTGTGATAGAATTATGGTATAGATTGCTCTATAGGAAAAATATACTAGGATGTGTGTGTGTGTGTGTGTGTGTGTGTACTATAATTTGACGTAAAAACTGCATGTTCTCAGTCTAAGTGGCTCTGTGAGAAGCGCCTCATAGTTCCATTGGAGACAAGTTAATATTGTAAAGAAATCTCATTTTGTTCGCACGGGACCTATATGCTAGCCAGTAGCTGAGCAAGATTTCTAAACAAAGGTCAGCTTTGAGCTATCTATCTCAAAGTCGAAAAGCACGTCTCAGTGAGATGCCACGGCATAACAAAGAGCTCACTGAAAAGCGGGCTCCAGGCTCCCTTCTCATCCTGCCCACATCCATGGCACAGAGCCAGTACAAGGAGTCCAAATAATGGACTCTCTGGGGATCTAGCTCAGTTGGTACAGTGCCCGCCTCACATGCACAAGACTCAGCACCTAGTAAACTAGGCACAGTGGCATGGTCCTGCAATTCCAGCACTCACCCAAAAGGTTGATCCAAAGCTCAAAGGTCATTCTTGGCTAAATACCACATTCAAGGCCACTGTCTTACAAAAAAACAAAACAAAACAAAAACAAAAAAAACAAAAAAGCCAAACAAACAAACAAACAAACAAAAAACTCATTTTGTTCAGCTCTGAGAAGAAAGTTGACCACCTTTAAGCATCTCACTGAGACTTTCCAAAGGGAAAATACAGCATTTTAACATCAGGGTTGCTCAGCACATGGGCTCTTTTTGAAAGGTACAGAATTCCAACTGTGCATCCATCCATCCGGAGAGTCACTTAGACACTCACATCCTACCCCTACCCAGTAAGACCACCCAGCGTAACCGGCCAGTTAAGCTGCTCTAAGGGCCTGGCTTCTTCCTTAAAATAGCTCCTGGTTTCTAGGAAGTGAGCCCTAACTTTCTCCTCTTAGGAAGTTTAAAGGTGAACTCAATACCTCTTTATGTATTTTAGCAGACATGGGCCCAAGCAACGAGTATAGCTACTGCTTTTTAAAACATCAGTTTAGCAAACCAGTTTCCTTAATCCTCCTACTATTAAGAAGCGGCATGACAATGTGTCTAGTATATGGCATGTGTTAGTTTCGCTATTTGTTGAGCAATAGCTACAGACTCTAAAATAATACTTACCAATTACAGAAATTTCGGGGCTTTTAAGAATACTCTTTCCTGAGACCACCTTCTTCTCCTTCTGTGCTCTAAGGTCTAGGACTGAGATTCTAGATGGTGAGATGGTGCTATCTACAACTTCTAAATTGTAAAAAAAGGAGTGCAGGAATGTAGGAAGAGTGGACTGGCTAATTAGTTGCCGGCTTTAGTCTCCTCTGATTATTAAAAAAAAATAAAGTGCATGCCAATGCAGACATCAAACGTGATTTTCACCCATGTTTTTTGTCTTCTTGCTCTTCTAGAACAAAACTATCCGAGATGACTGTCACTTACTCCAGTAAAGTAGCAAATGCAACTTTTTTTGGATTTCATAGGTTGCTCCTCAAGTGGAGAGGCAGCATCTACAAGCTACTGTACAGGGAATTTATTGTTTTTGCTGTCCTTTACACAGCAATCAGTCTGGTGTACAGGTACTTTCGCTTTGCATGTCTCCTTAAATGGCCCTCAGATGTTATGTAAGAATACAGTCTCAAAAAATCGGATCCCCTTGGTTGCCGCTGGCCTTCGCATTACGTAACCTCTCCCTCTGCATGAACCTCTCTGTCGTTTTTTTCTCTTCGGGACAGGGTATTTTAATCCACGCCTAACCATGTATTAGGAGTCAGCAACTGCCAGAGACAACGGGCTCGCATTCCAGCCCCACAGGAACTGATCCTGATGAGGTGTCAGCCACGCTGTTTTAGGCGTAAATGGAAAGATTCCACCTTGCACCCTTATGGTGTGATGATTAATGACAAAGCCCACAGACACATACTTTTGTGATTCTCTCAACCATGTCACTCAGAGTTTGAACTTGTGGCCTGACAGCTTGTTGCAACTCCATGTGGAGTTAACATCTGGGTGAACAGAATTTCCCAGGCAGCTTGCCTTTCGTCTCGATGGTGAGCTCTGCCCCGGGACGGTGGTTCTCCAACCTTACCAGTGCCGCAACCAAAGAATTAAGGCCCAAAGAATAATTTGTTCTCTTTATGTCTTCTGATTTCAGGACGTCATTTTCGCAAAAGGAGGTATTTATTCTTTGTTACGTCGAGGTGTGTTCCTGTCAGGTCGATAGAGACTTTGAGCATAGCCACCTCTCAACAACTCAAAATTACAATCTTGATAAAATTTCATCAGTATGCTAAGGAAAGAAGCTTGATGAGTCATTAAACTAAAATTGACTCATTGGAGGAAACTAATAGGAAAGCTTAAGGTTTTTAAGGCCATATTTCCACCTTAGCTAGGTATATAATTCTTTCTTCTACCACAGATGAACAAATTGTGAGGAGTCACCAATTTTACCTACATCCTTCCCTGCGGTTACGAGACTCCACTTGGAGAGGAGGGATGTTCGTTTAGTTGGCTGAGCGTTACCCAGAGCGAAATGTTGAACAATTATTTTGTTATGCATCAAAGCTTTCCTCCTAGGGCTGAGGATGTAGCCAGCTCAGGTGGTAGAGTACCTGCCTAGCACGCCTGGAGTCCTGGGTTCATTTCCTAGCATCACATAAAGCCAGGCATGATGGCATAGACCTGCAATCCCAGCATGGAGGAGGTGGAGGCAGGTGGATCTGAACTTCAAGACAGTCCTTGGCTACGTGGGCTACAAGAGACCCTGTCTCAAAAACAAAACAAAACACTACTATTCCAAATGAGTGTACACGTTAGATGGATTTTGTGGGGCTGGGGTTTAGCTTACTTGATAAGCAAGTGCTAGGTCCTGGGTTCAAATAACCAAAATAACCAAAACAAAAAACACCAAGGCAAAAATCGCAAGTATAGATTTTGGCAAATGTCCTTAGAGACTTCTTATATTTTTCAGATACCTTATAGATTATCTTAACACCTTAGCCATATGTCACACGAACCTTCGGGATATGAAATGGTGGCAGATTAGTGGCATTCCAGGATAACTCTCTATCTCCTTAGTTTGTTTTTACTAATGTGAGTTGACTGTTGCTACTGCTGCTTAGAATAGAAAAAGCCCTGAGAACCGTTGCTGTATTGCCAGAAATGCTCTCTGGGGTCTCAACTTTTGCTCCAGTATCAAACTCATACCCCCCAAAGTCTACACAGACTTTTGTCTTTCCGAAAACCAAAGAGTGCATATATTTGTAAAAATCACTTTAATTTGGTTTCTCTTTCTTTTTTTACAAGTCTCATTGCGAACTCTTGGGAAAGTTGATTTTTAAAAAATTTTATTTATTCCATGTGCTTTGGTGTTTTGCCTGCATGTATATCTGTGTGAAGGTACCAGATCCCCCGGAACTGGAGTTACAGGCAGTTGTAAGCTGCCATGTGGGTGCTGGGAATTGAACCTGGGTCCTCTGGCAGAGCAGTCAGTGCTCTTAACCACTGAGCCAGCTCCCCAGCCCAAGTAGATCCTTTTTGTCTTAAAGATTTATCAAGAACTGTTGGATTACTAGGTCGAGAAAGTAAAGCAGACCTGTGGGAGATACAAACAGAATTCATTCTTGTGCCTGCTGTAGACTTTGGTTCTATCTCTTCCAATTTGGAGGAATGATAAAATAATCTCTGTGGTAATTTCTAGCTAAGAAAATTTGTGTCTATTATTCATATTTCTTTGGCCAATTAGTATTAATACCACCCATTTTGGTTCTATGTTTGAAGATATATGCTTTAAAATTATTTATATAATTGATTTTTTTTTTATATCCACGGAACCATAAGCGGGAAAGAAAAAAAAAAAACAACTGAGACTCCTAGAGACTAGACAATACACAGACCTGTGCTGTACCCTGGCTTGGCCTAACTGGTCCTAAGAGCTACACGTTCCACTCTAAATACTCTTTGACCATTTCTATTTATGTAGCAGAAAGCCACCCTGTCTGTGACTTGTCATCAACACGACCCTCTGAGGCCTGTGAATCCAGCCACATGACCCTCTGAGGCCTGTGAATCCAGCCGGTGCCTCTCTTGTCACTTCCCCTGATTCCAGGAACTCTATCACCTCGTCCAAAGCTGAGACAGGAACTCCACACACCCCTGGACCCCAAACTCCTTCCTCACCAGTACCAGCTCCGCCTGCAGCCTCATTGGTTGGATACGGTTCCCTCACTGGCCCTCTGCTTCTTTATCAACATTCTAGCCAAGGGAACTGGTGGTACTTATTCTGGTGGCTCTTTCCTTAGATTTCTTCATCCTTGAGATGAACTGCACTATCGACCTATGCAAATTCATATGTGGTTTCTCTTTCCACATTTTGGTGATTGTTACTAGCCTGCCTTTAGAGATTTTGGGGGGGCTCTGAATTCCCTCCCTAAAGCATAATAATGGTCTCATTATGGGCAGGTGTGTTTAACAGTCTCAGAAAAAGAGCTTGGGGAGGTTAAGTCAGAGCTACAGGAAAAGTTTTGAGACAGTGGCAAAATGTAACAGTTTCCACGTTTAAGATTAAATCGGCTTTATCTGTATTCCAAGTAATTATGAGTGTTAAAGTAAACAATTATAATATTACTTGACTGTGATATGCACGATCTAGAATGTGCTAATTTACTTAATTAAATTAATTAACACATTCTGAATTAAGATCAAGATGTCTAATGTTGTTACTCAATAATGACTTAATAACTCTGACCCACCAAATCAATACTCTCTTTCTTGTAAGTATTCCTGATGAATAATTGAGAAGTGGAAACCAGGTCTGGTGGTGCAGGGCTGTAACCCTAGCTACTTGGGTGGCTAAGGCATGAGAATTACAAGTTTGAGACCTGCTTGGTCTACAGAGTGAGCCCAAGCCAGCCTGGGCAACTTCAGTGAGACCCTGTCTCAAAAATAAAAAGGAAAATCTGAGGCTGGAATTCAGTGAGAGTGTCTGCCTGGCACCTGGGCTGACCTACCTTTGATTCTCAGTGGAAAGAAAGAAAATAAAAATAAACTCTTTTGTGACGTATTTTTCTCCAAAAATCCAATGAATCAATTATATAAAACTCTAAAAATATAAAGTTTTAAGAAACAAAAATGGTTAATAAATCCTTTATTTAATGGCCAAGAGTCTTCTGTGCTAAAATCTTGAATACTTGAAGCACAAAGCAATTTTTTAAAGACTTTGGAGACACATCTGTTTGAAGAAAAAGGAACAAAAATATAGAGTTCCTTTGAACAACAACAACAACAAAAAACTGAGATTATTTGTGCTTAACTGTTTGCACTAAATGCCACCTGCAGAGCAGGTGCAGAAATACCATATCATAAAGGGCTGTGCGTTTTATTTTTGCTCCAGATTGTTACTTACAGGAGCCCAAAAACGTTACTTTGAAAAATTATCAATTTACTGTGACAGATATGCTGAGCAAATTCCAGTAACCTTTGTGCTTGGTAAGTATAGGTCACGCGCAGAATGCAGCCACACCGCTGTCTCCGTGAGATGACACATGACTGCATGAGTGCTTCCGGGCTGAGAGGCATGCCGGGAAAGCCGCTGCTTGCAAGGGCACGCGGCCGCCGTCCCTAAAGTTTGCCTTCAGGGCTGCTTCTGCTAAATTAACATCCGACAGTTTGAGGTCATGATCTGCTATGGGACCACTGAGCTTTCTCTTCACTAACCCTCCACTTTTGCAGTCAATATTTCAGTTCTAATACCCACTTACTGGGTGCCCCTCACCTTGCCAGGCACATAGGACGCCCCCACCCCTCTTCTTGGAGGGAAAAACATAAGGTATGGATGATAGCATCCTTTCAGATCTCGAACCCCTAAAAAAGGCTAAAGTTCTGCTGAAAGTGTGTCCGCTGAGGTGTCTGCTGTAAGAAACTGCATGATGACTTCCGGTTACCCCGCAGGGTTCTATGTCACTCTGGTGGTGAACCGATGGTGGAACCAGTTTGTGAATCTGCCTTGGCCGGACAGGCTCATGTTCCTCATCTCCAGCAGTGTCCACGGGAGCGACCAGCACGGGCGCCTGCTCAGAAGGACGCTGATGCGCTATGTCAACCTCACGTCCCTGCTCATCTTCCGCTCCGTGAGCACGGCGGTGTACAAAAGGTTTCCGACCATGGACCACGTGGTCGAAGCAGGTATGTGCATGCTTTCTTCTCGTGGGCTCTTTCTGTCAAGTTCATGTGTCTATCAGACGTCGGAACCACCAAAATACTCTAGAAAGCACCTAAGTGTACTCATTCAAGAAATGTTTGTGGGTTGCCTCCTGTGTGCCAGAAGAAATCTTTTTTTTTTTTCTTTTTTTGGTTTTTCGAGATAGGCTTAAAGAGATATTTTTCTTATTATTTTCCTTTGGTGGTAGTGCTCGGGATTGAACCCAGGGCCTTGGTTATGCTAGGCAAAATGCTCTACCACTGAGCTACCTCCTCAGAAGAGTTCTTAAAGGGCAGAGATGAGTAAGGTATGATTCCTGCCCTCAAGAAGTTTACTTTGGAGGTAGAGGAGAAAAGTAGTTGAAAGTCAAGATGTCTTGAGATAAGTACAGTGATGATGATGATGATGATCACAACCGTCCAAGCAACCTTTCATATGTAGTACCTTACAATTTTCCAGTATCGCATGGCCATTGTGTTTATTTTGTTCTGAGTTGTTTTGCTTTGTTTTGTCTTTTGTTGTTGTTTTTGAGGCAGGTTATCACTATGTAGCCCAAGCTGGCCCTGAACTCACTGCAATCCTCCAGCCGTAGCCTGCCTGGGAGTGGGATTACTGATGTGCGTCACCGCGCCTAGTTTATAGCTGTTTTAGATAGGTCCCGAGACACCATGAAATCAGTAGAGGGCGGATTTAAACAGACTGATTACAAGCTGTGCAACACAATTAAGATTCAGACTCCGAAACATTATGATGGCATGCGTCTTGAAGCACCATCGGTTCTGGAAGGAGTCTGTATGTCCGTTTTCATCCAGGATAACCCTCCTCCCCAGATGTGGTCGTCAAAGGCTCTCTCTCTCCAGTGCTTCGTAGGAGACGGTAGACGTAGGAGTTCTATCTGGGTGCTTGGGGCTAGCATGCTGAAGTCATGTGTGAAGGATGGTTCTCTTTGCTATGTAAATATTTGACACAGAAGCTGTAAAACCGGCCTTCAGTGGCGGGAGGATTGAGTGAGGTCATTCTTGGCCCACAGTGAGGATCTGAGAACTCGGAAGAATTCCACCTTCATTTAGGCTACAGTCTCGAATCAAATTGTAATCTTGTTTCCTTTTTCCTCCAAAAAGAATATTGTTCGTTTTTTAATTTGTTGTTGTTGTTGTTGCTGTGTGTTTATGGGAGACACAGATAATAACTAAGTATAGCATAAGGGTTGGGATTCTGACTCCTCCACTGTCCACTAGTTACATGATGTTGTTTACGTACTTAGCCTTTCTGTGCCTCAGTTTCTTCATCTATAAAATGGGCTTATGCTAGCACCTATGGTTTTTTTTTTTGGTTGGTTGGTTGGTTGGTTGGTTGGTTGGTTGGTTTTTCGAGACACGATTTCTCTGTGTAGCTTTGGTGCCTGTCCTGGAGCTTGCTCTGTAGACCAGGCTGGCCTCGAACTCACAAAGATCTTCCTGACTCTGCCTCCCGAGTGCTGGGATCAAAGGTGTGTGCAGCCAGCTCCCGGCCGATAGCACCTGTTATAGACCTTGTAGATTCACTGTGAGAACTAAGTGAGTGAATGGTCACAAAGTGCTCAGAGCAATTCCTAGCACCCGGCAAGTGGTATGCCATTTCTTGCCGCTATACAGGAATCATCTAGAACAGCATGGCACAGCATTTGGGTCACTACTGAAGACTCCTTTGTGTCCATGACATCCCAGGTCTTCTTGATCTATTTTCATCATGAGATGGAGAAAGTTGGGGAGGGGAAAGAAAGCAAGGGTGTATGTGAGGAAGTGGTGGTGGGGGGCAGGGAATCAGTGGGGGGTCCAAGCAGAAGTCTGAGTAGTCTGGCCAACATTCAGGTGTGTTGTGTGTGACACCGGGAACCAAAACCAAATGAACCGCCCGCTGCCCTCCGAAGGTAAAAACGTAGGATACTGCTTCAGAATAACTAACCTGAAACGCTCCTTGGCAACTTCGGTTTCTTATATAGAAATATATAAAGAATAAAGATGTTAAGAAGGACCTGCTCTGAAGGAAGGTAGAAAAGCCGCAAACAGGGCAAGTTTGGGTGAACCAGGGCTACTTCTCTAGTTCTGACACATTCTGGCACAGAAGGGCTCTGGTCAGAGCAAATCGCATCCTCTTGGGGTCAGCCCCGTGTTGAAAGAGCATCCTGAGGAGCCGGGCCAGCCACCAATAGAGAGGACTTTGGGGCCTCTGGTCCGACCTGAGCTCCCAGGGCTGAACTGGGCCCGGGTCTGCAGGCACGTGAGCAAACAGGGTAAGCAGGAGCGTGGTGTGACTTCATTTCCTTTGAGTGTGCTATTCACAGCACACTTGTACAAATGGCTGCCGTGCACACGCAATCAGGCTTTTTCCTTTCTAAGGGACCTGGGATGTCGGATATTACTTCTGTCCCCACTATCCATACCCTTACCATTGCAAGGGAGTGTGCAAAACAAGAGCCATTCACTCACTGGTGTGCATTTCAAGTTGTGTGTCTGAAACCACAATCCACAGACCCACAGACCTCGGCATTTGGCTGCTCACTTAAAGTGCATTGTACTCCACTTTGAATCTACTGAATCAAAAAACTTGAACCCTTAGAAGTGCTGCTTAGACCCCTTCCGTTAAACATGCCTCCGTGTCTCTCCTTCCCTCTCTGTAGTTTAAGACAGTCTCATCACGTAACCCAGACTTTGCCTCACACGGGAGTCCTTCTGCCTCAGCCTCCCTGGTGCAGGGAATCAAAAGTGTGTGTCACCATTCTTGGCTCCCTGTCATTTTTCACATGGTGAACTTGAAAAGTACTGAATGGTTTGAGGGATGCTTTAAAAACAAAACCAAACAAAAGAACAAACACCTCTTTGTCTGATTCCCCGGGCAAAAAAAAAGGAAGGGAGAGGGGATTCCAGTCATTTCTACTAACCGGGTACCAACGACGAAGACGGAGTAGATTCAGCCTGGGGTGACCAGCGACAGCAGCCAGCTAAGGTGTGCCCTCAGGCAGAGTTTGAGTCACTTGTTTGTGCATGCCACGCATAGTTCTGGATTAAAATTTTTATTTAGTTCCTTTGGACTGGCTGAAGGAGACAGATCTAAGAGAGAGCAAATGGAGCCAAAATCTTTCTTAGGGCCCACGAGCCTATGACTCACAGCCTCCATTAAAAGGCCTTGTTTATCCTGAGGCAGGGGTCTAATGGGGACTGCAGCAAAAGGATTGTCCCAAGTTCAAGGCCAACCTGAGCTACAGCGCGTGAGTTCCTGGCCAGACAGGACTACATAGCAAGATCACACCTCAAAAGACAAAACAAAAATAAAGGAGTGGGGGGGACTCTTCTGGAACCTCGGTGTGTTTTTTTATAAAAGGGGCAGAGGACATGGCTTGTGCTCCGAAGAATGTAAATTTGTGCACACAGCGTGTGTACGATATCGTGTGTACGATACCAGGGCTGTGTGTCAGGTGATAGAGCAAAGGTTCCAAGCTACTGAGCTGCAGGAACAGCCCCAGAGCCCGGCGTTTCCTGCTGCCCCGGCCAGCACCCTCGGTCTATGGCAGCAGCGCTGACTCACGCAGTGTCTGGCTCCTTCCCCCGTAGAGAGGGCTGACTCAGTCTCATCCAGGCTCTGTGTCCAAGTTGTCCCGCTGGACACCTGCCTCCCTCACTCCCTGACTGGTTTTCGCCTGTGCCAGGGTTTCTGGGAAGAACAGGAAGTTGGAGACGGTGGAAAATGTTTGGCAGATGTCCTGAGTCCAGAGCCAGGGCACCTAATCCCTGCCTAAGAGGATAGAGGACTCATAACTATGCCACTACCCTGCACTAAGGGGGCAAAATAAGTGGGCAATGTTAAGGACACACACACTCCTCCCCACATACACACACACACACATACACACACACACACACACACACACACACACACACACACACACCTTATCTACTGACTACCCTGCTTAAAATCACCCATAAGAAATAGTATGTATCTAGAAGTTGAGTACACATCAGCTACTGATAAAAACGAATGCTGGAAGATGTCAGTGTATCTAACAAGCCCCTACAGACAGTGATGAGCGGTCCCAGAATCACAGGCTGCCAGATGCTGAGATTTAAGACTGGGTCCTCCAAAGCTCTTTGCCCAACTGCTTCGCCGGGGCTCTTGCCTGCACAACCCCTGTGAGGGGCAGGAGGAGGCAGGTGAGAAGGTAGGAGGATGGAGAGCAGCAAGCCTGGACCTTCTCTGCCAGTCTCTGAACTTTCTTTGTTTTTAAATGAAACAGTCAAATTCTATCATTCTGAGGCATGGAAAAACCGCGCTGCATGCTTCCCAGGAAGATAGATCTGATTCTTTGTCATCACAGGTTAAATTTCTCAAATTAAAAATAAAAAGCTTTCTATTTCTACTTATACTAAAAATTGAACTCAAAATAAGTCAATTGTGCCGTGAAGTCGCTTAAGTGTGGGCCGTCCGTTATTTATCAGAGGGACTGCCAGAGAGGCTCATTTTTGCCTGTTGACTCTGAACTCATTCTGGAAAATTCTAGTCATTCCGATCACCTGCCCTGGAAAATGTCACTCACTCCAAGCCAAGTGCATAATCCTGGATCTTTGCTAACTCGGGGGTCATGACCTTAGCTGATGGTTTATATTTTAGAACTAAGTGGAATCCAAATCTTTTACCTAATACTTCATAAGTATCAGAGAAGAAAATAGTTCTCAGCAAAATTACTCATCAGAAGCACAGAGACGGGAATAGAAAATCACAGACCGACCCAAAAAATAAAGCTCCCAATGACTATCAGGCATTTGCACATTCTATAAAGCTTCCTTGGGGTGGAAATGCAGTTGGTTGGCAGAGAGCCTGCCCAGCATGCACAAAGCTCTGGTTCTAATCCCCAGCTCTGAAGAAAGCCAGACAGGGAGGCTTGTGCCCATAATCTCAGCGCTGGGCAAGTAAAGACAAACCAGGAGTTCAAGGTTATCTTTAGCTACGT